CCTTCAAAAAGTCTATTAATACCTGGCTTTTCCGGCAGGCCTGGGGCTGTTGACCTCTTGAATGAGGTCCAGCCCCACTATGGTTGAGAGTGTGTTGTGTTTTAACCTGCTTTGTTTTCTTTACTTTTTAAACTTTTTAGTACTTTTTAAATTGTCTTTTATGTAAGCCGCCCGGAGTCCTTCGGGATTGGGCGGCATATAAATTTATTCAACTTAAACTTAAACTTGCCTCCAGAAGTTGTGAATGCTCCAACACTGGAAGTTTTTAAGAAGAGATTGGATAACCATTTGTCTGAAATGGTATAGGGTTTCCTGCCTAATCAGGGAATTGGATTAAAAGACCTCCAAGGTCCCTTCCAGTTCTGCTGTTCTGTTCTGTTCCATTCAGTTCCGTTCCATTCCATTCCATTTCATTCTACCCTACCCTACCCTACCCTATCTACCCTACACTATTTTCTACTCTACTCTACTCTACTATGTTGCAGAACATTTACAATTTTTTAGCTCTAGCCCTAGAGCTATAACTATTTGCCCACGGACATGCTATGTGAAAAAAGATTGATGTCCAAGCTATGTTTTCTGTAGCTTTTCTAGACACATTAGTTCTGCAAGGATGTCCGTGTACTGATTATCAAGGCATCCAGTCAATTTGCTCCAAATTTGCTGTTTAATAGCAATTCTCATTTGCTAGAGCTTCTGAAATGAGTCCCTGGTTATAATGAAGAAATATAGCCTTTTAATATCTTAAGCAAATATAATTACTCCATTGATCTTAAGGTGTAAAATTTCTAGGTAAATGGTTTCTTCTTTTAAAAAAGAAACGTTTGGATTGCTATACTAGGTGGCATCGGGTGGCCATCAGTGTGGAGGGGGAATCAGTGACGATGATTGTGGACTGTAAGAAGAAAACCACCAAGCCACTCAAGAGGAGCAGCCCGGCGGTCATTGACACCAATGGCATCGCTGTCTTTGGAACACGAATTCTGGATGAGGAGGTGTTTGAGGTAAATATTTGTCTGTCAAATGGCAACATATTCAATACTGTGTGAATAGAACATTTGTTGAAGGCAGAAAATGGTAAAATATGTTGTGTGTAGGCTATCCCAGATAAGGTTTTGGAGAGTACATTTCCAAATGAAAAGGTTGTGCTACAGTATATATTTTGAAATATGGTTATATTAAGATGATACACAAATACATTTAAAAATCTTAGTTTTGCACATTTGGTTTTATCTGTACAGATTTAGATGAAAGCATCATTGGTGATAATGTTCCATAAATCTGTGATATCCCTGGGGGTCAGTCAGTCTATTATTTCATCCCTCTGACATGTTATCTCTGTTGCTATGCATTGCTATGGCACGTGAGTCCATTCCTAGATCACTTGAACTGAAACGCCTTATAATGTAGCAAACACATTAAGTCAGGAGTCCCCCCAACCCCCCATCCATGGACTGGTCCGCAGCATGCCAGAAACAGGGCCATGCGAACAAGCGAAGCTCCATCCATGGGATGCAAGCAGCACATGAAACCACAGCTCCTCTGGTCTGTGGAAAAACCTCTCTCCACAAAACTGGTGTCTGGTGCTTTTTACAATCCATTCTAATCCCTTTGAGTTAGGGTGACTGGATGGAATTGAGCATTTACTGGCCGGATGCCCTTCCTGACACCACACAAAGTTCACAGCAGATATTTTTTTCTTTGCGCCCTGGGAGAGAAACATCTGCCGCTAGTAGGATTGAATTCTCAATCTTCCAAGTGGGAGGTGAGCATCTTCACCACTAGGCCACCACACCTAATGTGTGTATGTGTGTGTGTATGTATAGACACACACACAAANTGACTCTGTAAACCGCTTAGAGGTGGCTGAAAGCCCTATGAAGCGGTATATAAGTCTAACTGCTATTGCTAACTGCTATAAGTTAAGATCTATCTGTGGAATATCAGTTTGAAGCCCGCAGCATCTAAGCCAAACAAACAACATTAGCAAAAATAAATATGCTTTCAAAATAGAGCCCCTTTCCATCTGTTATGGGAGACTACTTAAACAAATAGAAAACTCACCGGAAAACATTTTGAACTGTGATTGGTATGAGAACCTTAATCTTGAACTGGGTAAGTGAGATAGACTTGAGGATAGCGAATGTTTCCGCTATAAAAATCCTCAAAATCTAATTGTTGATTGTATTTTTGTACATCTCACCAAGAGTCAGTCGTTTTTCCTTACACTTTCCATTGAGAGAAATACACTTCCCAGCCCTCCCCACTTATGTTGATCTGCGACTGGGAGTTTTGAATTTACTCTGCGCCCAGCTTTGGTCAATGGAGTAAATTCATGCAAAGAAAACACACTTAGCCCAAGAGGCCCCTTGCTCCTTGATCTCCCTGACCTTCAGATAGAATTTCAATTAAAGAGCTAGCTAGGATCTTGCAAGGAATAACAAGAACACTGAATTCTAACAACAACAAAGCTTTATTGGTTTAACAAGTTTGAGGCCTGTACACTCGCACCTGTATTCTTACTCATACGCATTCCACATTTAGAACCAGCCAAGCCTGAAAGATATCATCATGCTCTTTGTCTTTCCGGAGCTTTTATATTGCATGCTGTAGACAAAATTTCACTTATCTGCAATGCTAATTAATTAACCATTGGAAGTTCGTTTATGTCTTTGGCTAGATCTGCTTTTTCTTTCCATTATATCTTGGAACCTTGGAATGTGAGGTGCTCACTTCCAGATAATGGTTTCTGTCTTTGCATGAGACAGAATTTTGTATTGTCTTTCATTGCACCTTTCAGAGATGATGATGATGATGATTTTCTTTTTTGCATACCATGTACCCTGTTGCCTAGTATTTTCCTAGCAGAGGTGGCTAAGATGGTTTCCAGTATGATACTGGAGAACATCAGTGGTGGGCTGGAACAGCCTACTACGACCATGTTAACGTTTTTTTGGGCTCTGTAACACCCCTTGAGGTAGGCTTAGAGTTAAGATCGAACTAATTCTTAGAATTGGTTACCCTAGTTTATGCTTCATATTAAAAGGAGGGAGCTAGTATTATACTGCTGCCATGAGTAGAACAGGAACTAGGGCAACATGGTCTCCCAACAGCGTTACTAGTTAGAACAACTAATCAGTGGAACAACTTGCCTTCTCTGTAGCTGCTCCGGCCCTATGGAATGATCTACCACCAGAGATCCGGACCCTCCCCACTCTTGCGGCCTTCAAAAAGTCTATTAATACCTGGCTTTTCCGGCAGGCCTGGGGCTGTTGACCTCTTGAATGAGGTCCAGCCCCACTATGGTTGAGAGTGTGTTGTGTTTTAACCTGCTTTGTTTTCTTTACTTTTTAAACTTTTTAGTACTTTTTAAATTGTCTTTTATGTAAGCCGCCCGGAGTCCTTCGGGATTGGGCGGCATATAAGTTTATTAAACTTAAACTAAACTTAAACTTAAT